CGTGTGTGTTGTACTCACGCGGCTGGTTAGGGTCGGGCGAGGACGGCGGGGAGCCGGAGCCCGAGACGATGTCGTTCTGGTAGTCCTCGTCGTCGCCGGGGGTGTGGTCCTGGTCGTCGTCCCACGCCTCGTCGCCCAGCGGCTCCTCGTCTTCCTCCTGCGCACGCCACGCGCCATCGTCAGCGCACGCCCCTCACACGGCTACGCGTCGCGTCGCGAACATTCCGCGCATTAGAAAGCATTGATTGTGATGACACTGACACAGTTGTGCGAACGCACTTCTTCCTAAATGGCGAAAGTAGTTTTCGAATTGTTCCTACATTGATCTTCAATCGATTTGATGGTCTTCTGGGAGGTAAATCATAATTCCTCAGAAGTAATGTCACAGGATTTTGTAACGATGGCTCGTTATAAACTGAACACCACCATCCTTAAGCTCCTAAGATGCAATGCGTATAAAATGGCAATACGGTAAAAAAAGCAAATTAAAAGCTTAAAATTATTAGCTTCTGAAAATTTACGTTACAACTTTTATAAAACAATGCAATTTTTATTAAGTACGAGATATACGACTCAAAAATTTTCAAATTCACACAAACACGACACAAAAATTGCAAAGAGCACTAAGGTATACCAACCAATATATCACATGTACACCAATGCAATACATATCAATATACTCCATGCCAAATCACATTTTATTATTAACACAAAATTTTCGTTTTCAAAAACAGAAAGTTCTCCGGGACCAGTCATACCCCCATTTGAAAGTCCAGACACTGAACATCGATGAATAAGACGCATGTCTTTAAAGTGTAAAATCTTACGTCTTATGCCCCTGAGAATACTAAAAATACACAGAACATATGAGAATAAATGTTACAAATATCTAGGGCCTGTAAAGAGGTAAAAGATAATCAATTTTTACCAATGCATTTGGCAGGAAATCTCATACAACGAATTTACACATGAAACATTTCTCCATTATCTGACGCAAAGCGATTTCGCGTACCCGCCGAGCAGTTGTCAAACAAGTAGGACCAAATGTCGCATATGTGATTTCTTAATATGAAATTTCCCTCCACAACCTCATTGACACAAGTGATCGTCTCCGATCGGTCTTCATGCCCTACAATTGATTCATTGTTTGGTGTTTTCGGGCACCTTAACTGACTGTGACTGTGGCAACGGTCTGTAACTCGATCATTAGGATACTGCTCCGTTATTCGATTGGTATTGATTGGAGATACCACGGGAAACTACCGATCAGAGCAACCGGTCACTACAGTTATCTTCCAGTCAGCGCAGCGACTGCTCAGCTAACTAGTACGAAAATTCGCCTCTATAGGAATTCGAATCCTAGGACCTATCGGCCAAAATCGCTGCAGAAACAGCGCCAATGCAGTTCTGTGCTCATCTACGCCCGACACCTAAAAGGACGTAACATTTATTCGGCGGCCCCTTGCAAAGGATGACTGTATAGACCTACGCCAAAATAAGCCGACCCATCGTAGAAGATCGTAACATTTATTCTAAGACCCTTTGCAGAGGATGATTGTGTAGGACTATTCAAAAATAAGCACGATCTGCCCTTGAAGTTCTTAACATTTATTCCGAAACCCCCTTGCAGAGGATGACAGTGTAGCCCTAAGCTAAGAAGACGCCTCGTCATAGAAGTTCGTACTATTTATTCCAAGACCTCTTGCAGAGGATGATTGTGAAGGACTATTCTAAAATAAGCGCGATCCACTCTAGAAGTTCGTAACATTTATTCAGAGACACCTTGCCGAGGATGATTGTGTACGACTATTCTAAAATAGTTAACATTATAAACTAATTGCATAAACTAGCTAACTCTAACATGATGGGTAGCTAGTAGGATATTTTGTGTGACCAGGATTCGGACAAATTAGATTAACGGACCAAACATCATCGTGCGTGTCGTCCGGCGTCGCCGTCCACAAGCTAGAGGCTACGCAGAATTTTGACCCGAAGAATATTTTCTGTCAGCGTATCTGATTGGGAAATTAATATTTTAAATTTTGGGTTACTTTAAATGGAGCTTAAAGAAACATTTCTGCAAATTTTCTCAAAACGGTTACAAAAAACTATTCTTGAATTTCTTCCTCATTTAAAGTAAAGAACGAAACAAAAATTGGAGAGGCCCGATTCGTCTAAATTTCTTTAAATTTTCGAAAATTAAAAATGTTAGCATTTTCCGAATTTTCCAACAATTGAATATTTAAGAATGCACTTTTTTTTCTTAATGAACTCTGGTTTTAAAATCGTATCTCAAGATGAGGTCACGTACTAAATTTTGGTACATCAACCTGGTACATAAAAACAACTGGGTACGCAAAGTAAACAACTGAAGGGACATGATTAACATGGCTGCTGCTCGATATTAAAGAATGATGCTCAAAAGAATATACTTGTAAGTTTCCATGAATTCCTGCTAACAGATAATAATGAACGCAACTCGTTGGAAATATCTTTGGGATACTCCATTTCGAATGCAGATTGGACTCATATAGTGCTTTGCATTCCAACATTTCATTCTACGGCCAAAGACGCAATTTGCGGTGCTAATTAGTGACGTAAATAACTATTACTGGACGGTGTTTCATTTAACCTGTCCTTACTGTGAGTGTTTGTGCGTTTGGTGTATGAGTGTATGAAATAAATGTTTGGGGTGTGTGGATAGTATGTGTTGCGCGTGTTTTGAGTGGGAGGTTATGTGATAGTGTAACGCGCGTATGTTGTGTATTTTCGTATGTGGGTATGTGTGGTGAATAAGTGCGAGTAAATGTGTGTGTGTGTGTTTTCTGTGTGGCGTGTGTTTGAAAATGTGGGGTGTGTGAGAAAATAAGTGCTAAATGAGTGATTGAGTTGAGTGTTCGTGTGGTGTGTGAATGAGTGTGAAGTAAATGTTGTGTGCATGTGTTTCTGTATGGGATGTGTGAGAATGTGTCTAAGTGAGTGAGTGAGAGTATAAGTGAGTGTAAGTAGTGATTGAGTGTGTGTGGGTGTATGTTGGCGTGTCGTGGGTGTATGGTGCGTGTGGCGTGTGTGTGCGTATGGTGTACACGCGAGCGCTCGTGTGGTGTTTGTGTGGTGTTGTGTGTGTGTGTGTGTGTGGCGCATGCGTGTGTGTCCGTGCGTGCTCCTGACGGCGCGCGCTGGGGCCGCAGGTCCTCGTCGGGCTCTCGGGCGCCGCCAGGGCTCGAGCTCCTGGTCGTCGGCGGGCGGACCGCGCCCCTTCGCCTCCGCTGTCGTCGCCGCGGCGGCGCGTGCGCCGG